GATTATTGATCCAGCTAGCCTGGTACTGTCTATTCTGTCTGGCAGCAGTTCTCTATTTAAACAATGGGTTTCTGCAAGTGCAAGGACTACCACCTGCACAGTAGTATTTTCTCGGCTCCCCACCACCACTTCTGCAGTAGTCCAAATGCCTTCTGAAATCCACCAGGAGTAGGAGGGGGGGGGGAGTTTGACTTTCAGGCTACCACAGAAACGTTGCACTGCCTCCAACCCAATAGATCTTCAAAACTACATTGACTATGTCTACAGTACACAAACAAACCATCATCTAACGCTGTAAATTCTCACATTAAAATTTTTCATACCAAAGATCTTGAGTAAAACCTCATCTTAAAAAGCATCCCATTCATCCCAAAATAGAAAATATTTTATAGTATTTTTGTTAGTGTTCTCCAAAATCTCCAATTTTCCATTGAAGAAAGAGTCCTCGGAAAAAACACAAATGCCTGCAGTATTGCTACTGGAACCTTTTTAAAGGGAAGTGCCAAGGACTGAACCTGGGACACTCTACATGCAAGCAGATGCTCTGCCGCTGAGCTATAAGCTCTTCCCAGCTAACCTGTTTGATGGTGGCACACAGGAATGCCGCATTATGTATTACACAGAGAAAGAGTCAGAAACTATTTGAAATTTGTAAGAGGAGTCTTTGAAAGCATATCAGTTTTCTAGCTCCGTGGGAAGAAAAGAAACCTTCACACTGTATCACTGTCTCTTCTTGCCTCTCAAGTGTCATAAAATGTTTCAGAATTTAAGGCTCATATCATGGACACGAATGCCCCCCCCAAAACCTGCTTCACATTTTATCAATTGGAACTAGTACAGTAACAGCACTGAGGGTTACTATGGAGACTGAAAAGCTTCTGTCTATGGCAGTGATAGAAAGCTGCAGTTAAAAATAGTGGCTACAACATAAGCATTGTTAAGATAAAAGCACCAAGAGAAACTCACAGAGGCAATGCAGCAAAACCTAAGGGTAAAGGAGACAGACATGTTTCCACTGCACATCTAATATCCATAGTCCACACACATCTCAAGCCTCAAACTGGCAGCGGGAAATGCAGATGCAGCCTGAACCCTGAGCATCATATGACACAAGTACAAGATCACCAGAGGTATTTGCTAAGGAGGGGCTTTGGGGAAGGGCCATGATTGTCTGGTAAAACACACGCCACAGATTCCTTGCTTAAGGATATGATGGAGCTGCTGCTAGTTAGAGCAAACAACGCTAAGCTTGATGGCCCAGTTTGGTATAAGGCCCTTCATAAAATATGTGCAATGTTGCTTTTTCTGTTTAGCAGAGCCCCTCAAGCATGCAGAATGCTCTCAGCCCAAGATAGGAAAGTCTCAAATACTTTCCGTTGCCAAATGCTAGGATCAACTATTGCTACTTAAAGGAGCCAGCATGACTATTTCAAATTCTGAAAGACTACAGTCAAGCTGGAACACATGAAGCTGTCTTAACAAAAGACCGCTAGCATATCAAGGTCAGTGTGGTCTACTCTGGCAAGCAACTATCCAGGGTCTGCAGAAGAGGTCTTTCATGTCATCTACCACCTGACCCTTTTCAATAGAGATGCCAGAGATAGAACCTGAAACCTTCTGCATGCAAAGTGGATGTTCCACCACTAAGCCATGGCCCTTCCCCTGCACAAGCAGGGAGAAACCACTGCTCACCAAGCTCTTCTAGTCCAGGAGTCTTCAGCATTCTCAGCACCCACATAGTTCCAATGTGGAAGATGGGACCCCATTTCACTTCTTTACTGTCTACAACTGTCTTTTGTCTATTTTTTATCTTCCATCCTCTTTCTGAGATACACTGTGATAACTCTTCCAATACCGCCAACAGTCCTCTTTCATCACTGTACAAAGCTCAGGAAGGATAACTATGTGCAAGAATACATTTTCACAAAAATATAATTTTACCATCTTAAAGCACTGTTTCAAGTCTCTATGACTCTCCCAACCTTCACTCACAGTCTACAAGGACGTAGTTCACAGTGCTTCCAAAAGGTCCATGGACTCTAGTGAGTTTCCAGGGAATGAAGTTCCATAATCAGGAGGAAGCTGCTAGTTCACTTCTACAGCAAAGATGACAGTATTAAACTAAAAGGATGCTCATGAGTGACCTCTAAGGTTATAATGAAATGCAGTTTCTAAGGTATTACACATCTCCAGCAGCAGAGTCTTGTTTACCACTCTGAAAGCTACCATCTTATTCTTCTGCATTCCTAGATCAGGCCTTCATTCCAAGTAACTGTATGCAAGACTAGTTCCTGCCCAATCATGCTGCAGTCCTCTGTTTCCAAGTTTTCCATTCACATCTTTAGTCAGAGATCAGAAACACAGAAATCTCCCATCAGTACTAAAGAACACCAAAAGCTACAAATTACTGCTCGAGGTCACACAGCTGATAACTTTATCCTACCTAGCTATACTCCCATAGTTTTATAAGCACACCACAGAACACAAGCATGCGGATAATATGAGTTGTGGAAAATATTTTTGACAAGGCCACAGCTCAGTTGGGGAACATATACTTTTATTGCAAAATTCCCAGGTTCAATTATTAACCTCTCCACTTAAATGAGGTGGTAAGCATTGGGAAAGACCCAAGATCTTACAGAATCTTACCAGTCAGAGCAGGGAGTACTGAGCTTCATAGACAAAAAATGCTATTTGGTGAAAGGCAACTAGATATAGACAGACAGTGTGGTACAGTGGTTAGGGTGTCGGACTAGAATCTGGGAAACTCAAATTCAAATCCCCCCTCTGCCATGGAAGCTTGCTGGGTGGCCTTGGACCAGTCATGTATTCTTGGCCTAACCTACATCACAGGATTGTTGTTGAGATAACAATGAGGAGAGGAGAACAGTGTAAGCCAGTCTGTGTCCCCACTGGGGAGAAAAGCAGGGAATAATGAAGTAAAAATAAATAGTTGATGCTAAATTCCAGGCACTTAGAATTAAGCTTTCAGGAGCCAAACTCAAAGGTAGGATTTTCTTCCTGCCCTACAATAAGCAAAAAATAAAAATAAAATCACAGTTCCAAGTAGGTAGGTAAGTAGGTAGAGGTTTATTGTATAAAGCCATTGGCCATTACAAAATACAGAATACAACGAGACAAGGATAAAAAGTTAAAAACCACTATGACAATCCAGGTTAAAATTGACTACCAATCAATAATAAAAAGATAATACAGATTTGGACACCTTCAAGTAACCTGCCCCTTAGATCTAATCTTAGATGCTGCTAAAGCAAACAAGGAGAATCTGTGGGATAGATTATCTGAAAGCAAGAACGCAGTTGTTTCAGCTTCTGAGTATGCTTGCGTGGGCGATAGAAATCCTGCTAAATATTTCTCTCTTGGAGTGCTATATAGTGGACAGTAAAGCCTGTAGTGAGGAAGGTACTTAGAATCAAGCTTTCAGGAACCAGACTCAAAGTTAGGATTTTCTTCCTGCCCTACAATAAGAAAAAAAAACACTGTTCCAAGTAAGACTTCTACATGTACTTAAGTCTTAGAGAACAAGTCAAATTAAGCTGCTGGTCAGGAAGAAACTATTACTTGCCACAGGCAAAGCTGTACATGTTGGACAGCCACAAAGAGATTACCTCATCTTCACCATGTGCCGAACTTGTGAAAATATCTTTTCAGAAAGCATGGCCTTGACATGGGAAGACAGTGCCCAGGGTTTGAACCTGGGTTTCCAAGCCCAATACTGCAGACACTGTCTCTCTGTGTCACAGATCTTGACTACACTCTTCTTCTAGAAAAATTGAAACTGTTGTCTGATGAATTAAAGAATACAACTGCACCACCCCAAACCTAAGGCTAGCATCACTTGCCACCATTCTTCTACTGTACACTCACAGGTATTTTCTCTGCTTCCATAGCTCATCGCCTCAACTCATTTATCACCAACTGCTCCTTCGCTTCAAAATGAAATCTAACTAATATTCCTCCAAAAGCAGGCACTGCCTCCCCCCAACATCAGTTCTCAGCACAAGGTTCTTTCTTTCCATCCACTCATCATAGGTCCTTTTTAAAATTCAGAAACCAGTTTCAGATGCTCCTCTGCCTCCCACCCGAACTTTGCACTACAACAGCCACTTTCTTCTCTTCATCCACCCACCCCTTTTATCCACAAGCTACTGAGGCCTAGTTCACACATGCAGGGGAACAGATGGCAGAATAAACCACAGAACTTCAGATAAAAGGTGGAAGATCACATTTTAGAATGATTCCCAATGTTAAGCTCCCAGACAACAAAACAAAAAAAAAGCACAGCACACAAAGAAACAGAACTCTCTTCCCTGCTGTGGTAGTATACAGTAGCGGTTAGTGTCAAACTACTAATGGAGAAAGTGGATTTTCATATATGGTTAATAATTAAGCTCACTGGCTGGACAGTCTAATTTGCCTTGCAGTACTGTTGTAGAACCACAAACTCCAGTCCAAGATCCTTGTAAAAAGGAATATAAACACAGTACACAGATATGTATGTGAAATTCTGTGCACCAAAGTAAACAGGAGTCTTCTGGGTGCCTTAAAGACTAAGGAAATTCAATGAGCAAAGTGGGTTTCAGTGCACAAAAGCTTAAGATGGATACAATTTCATTAATTAAGGTGACAAAGGGCTCCTGTTTATTTTTGCTGCAACAAATTAATATGGCTAACCTTTTGTCATTTTACGACAAACACCATTCAAAACTGGAAGCCAACAAGGGAATAGCCCATTTCCTGATATATACGTGAACCAATCTACTGCATCTTCACCGCCCCCCCCCCCCCCCCCCGGTCGTAATGGGTCGCATTGGCGAAACACCTCTGATGTGCCCGGCTGAGGGGCGTTTCTTGACCTCACTCCTTTCTCCCAGGTCCAAACAGCTGTTCTGTTCTTTACACCAGTCTTTAGAAGTCTCAGCAGCTGGTTCTGCTGGGCCAAGTCCCTCCCTCCTCCTCACTTCCCGCCAGCTACTTACTGTTGTATTGGACCCCCTTTGCGAAGCGCCTCTGCAGCGCCTGGTTCATGGATTGCAGCCCGGCCGGGATGGGCTTGTCCCGCCCGGGGGCCTGGTCGGAGCCCACCAGCTTCTTCAGGGCCGAGAACATCCTCGCTGGCAGCCAAAGGGGTGGAGAAAAGGGAGGCGGCAGTTGCCACTGCTTCCGCACCCCGGCCTGGCTCCGAGGGCGGGGGTATGGGGGCAGGGCCGCTGGACGTCCGGGGGTGGTTACATGCCCGACCGCAGGGACCCGCGCTCTCCGCCAGCTGTCGGCTCTCCCAGCACCTCCCCGGCCGCCATCTTGGCTCAGCCTCTTTCTCTAAGCAACCAAAAGAAGGGGGAGCATGGGAGCAAAAGGAGGCTCGGTGACGGCAGCGCGCGAGGGACACGTTGGAAGGAAAAATATCGCCGTACTCCTTCGACTTCAGGCTACGGGAACCCGCGAGGGACATAGTTAGTGGAAGAAACGCGCCAAGGGAGCGTTTGAGGGGCTCACAGGAACAGAAATACATCGCCTGTTGGCTCGGCGGCGGACACGGATGGGGAAAAGCCCTTATGTCTCACAGTAAAGATCTGTATAACGGACGCATTTCGCCTATAGCAAAGCGCAGAGAATGGTGCAGCAAAAAACGGTCTGACCGGACTGCCGACATCTTGGCTTGGTCTCGTTTCCATAACAACCAGGCAAACCCCCATGAGTTTGCAACTGATACGGGGGCCCGGCAGGGACGTGCGTATTGCGCAAACGCGCTGTCCCTTCCCGATTGATTTCAGCAATAGAACGTGCTGGGACTCAAGCCTGGCTAGGAGTCAGATTTTTTTTCTGCTGGATGCTCTGCTCCTCCTAGTGAGAGGTGAGCAGCCTAGTTTTGCTTATCCAATGGCAAGGGGAAAACACTGCATATGCTCAGGCGCACCTTTTATGGGCGGCGCTCACAATACCTTGGATCTGGCTTTTTCAGCATCTCAAGATTATCATCATCGTTTACAATCCACCTATCTCACCTGGGTTTAGTAACATTTCTAATCAAACTCCTGTGTTATCTATTGCATTTTTATCCCGCGTTTTCCTGAGGTGTTCTGGGCTGCATGTCAGGCTTGCCAGCTCAGGTTTGGGAAATTCCTGGGAAATTGGGGGTGGACCCTAAGAAGGGCCGGGTTTGGGCGTTTGAGGGGCCTCAGCTAGATATAATGCCGTAGAGTCAAATCCATCCTTTAAAGCAGCCATTTCTTCCAGGGGAACTGATCCCTGTTGCCTGGAGATCAGTTGTAATTCCATGAGATCTGGAGGCTCCACCTGGAGGCCAACCCTAATGCATGGCTCTCCCTATCTCTGTTCCATTCTCACAACAACCCTATCCAAAAGGCGTTGGCTGAAGGAGTGCGCAACTAGCCCAGGGTAACCCTGTGAGATTCATAGCTGAGTGGAGACTGGAACCAGGGCCTCCCTATTCCTACTCCACACACAGGGTTGCCAAGAGCCACCATGGGCCCGCAGACAAAGATTCCACCTGCCCCCCCCCGATGACCCTGAACCCAACCATGTGTCTACATTTGTAGTTTTATATTTGTGTATACATACATATGTGCCACCATTATTGGATGCACTTCTTATGTCTGAGGAAGGGGGCTGTAGTTCACAAAAACTTCATATCACAATGAATGTTCAGGAAGTAAATCTGTAAGCAATCTATTTAAGTTTACCCTTGTACCTTTACCTAGCACAGAAGCAGGATGAAATTGATAAGGTGGTGGGGCTGGATGAGAAGTACTAGGATCACCAGGACTGATTTTCCCAATATATTTTCTAAAAAAGATCATTATCATTGAAGCATGGACAGCTTCAAAAGGGAATTAGGTAAGCATATGGAGCAGAGGTCCATCAGTGGCTATTAGCCACAAGGTATAGATAGGGGCTCTGGGGCAAGTGATGCTCTGTCTTCTTGGTGCTTGGGGGGGGGGGAGTCAACAGTGTGAGGGCTTCTAATGTCCTGGCCCCACTGGTGGACCTCCTGATGGCACCTGGTATTTCTGGCCACTGTGTGACACAGTGTTGGACTGGATGGGTCTTTGGCCTGATCCAACATTGGCATCTCTTATGTTCTTATGTTCTTTGTCATATAACAGCTAAGTAGCGTTTACAATGGGGCATTAGATGCCCCACCAAGGCAACAACAATCCCACTGCCTGAGCAGTGTTTAAAAATGTGATAATAATTTATCTAGTTATCAGATTAACATCCCATTACCATGTATGTAAAGGGAGGAGCATTCTTTTACTACTTTGATAGATCATGGGGAAATAGTAATTCCCCACCTTGCTTCTGTTCATAAGATTAACAAGGGTTTGCTGCTATTAAGTATGTTCTAAATTGCCAACCAGGGATGAGAAGGAGCTAAGACCAAGACTGACAAAAAAGGGGTGTGGGAATTAGAAGGGAGGCAGATAAATGAAGGCATATCATGAAAGGAGGATAAAAGTGGAACAGTGGAAGAGAAATTAAGAAGGAAGGAAGGTTGGTTGGAAGGAAAGGAAGAAGGAAACAGACTGCTGGGGGGGAAAGCAATTTTTTTAGGAGGCTGGCAATGGCCAACAGTCTAATATGTCTAGATCTGAATAAATGCTTCAGCCTCCTGGTGTATTCTGCCAATAAGAAACACCCCAAAACATCCTGCTTTTTGCATGCATTAAAAATACTGCCTTAACTAAAAGCAAATATTAAAATATGTTGGTTTTCTTGCCTTCATTCTGATTCAGTTTGGATGAAATATTGGGGACTTCAGTACCACCAAGAGTTACTTAATCTTCTGGATTTTCAAAGGTGGGTAACAAGAGCATCTGTAGGGAGCAGGTTGCCAAGAGCCCAACACACACACACACAAACCCTCATCAGACAGGTTGGGTGAACAACCAGTTAGTATTTTGCTGTTCAATCCAAAAAGAGATTGAAAAATCAGAAGGATTCTGTGAGGCTATACCTGAAAGCAGCCAAGTTGCACCCTGCCTCTGCCCCTGACTCATCACATCTTGCTTCGGCTCCATTTAACCTCCCCCCACCCCTAGCATTCTATATCTTGTTATAGACCAAATGTTGGATGAGTTACTCGCTCCTTCTTCTACCCCCTGCCCTGCCCAAGCCTAGTAGCCCACAAAATATTTACTGTAGATCTTCTCCTCAGAAGACCTCCACTACCTAGGGCCAATGCAACAGAAGAGAGAAAGCTGTGCAATGTCAATAACTTGGAGCAAAACAAATAAACACTTTATTAATTAGAAGAAAGTCATTTGGGGAACTGAGGAAAGAACCACTATTTTTTATTGGGCCCTCTCTGCTTTTTCTTCATGACCTTAGTCTTGTCTTCAATGAGTTTTAAGCCTTGCTTCTTGATCTCATCCCGGTTGGGCACAATACTGTGGTCAATGTCAGCAAAGTTGAAGACCTCTATAGAAAGGAAAGAGAACAAAATCTTGTTGGCTCTTAAAGGGAGAAAAAGATGGTAAGCTGGAACCAAAGCAAACTACCGGATTCTTTAGTGAAACAGAGCTATGACACTTAAAGTGGTCTATGATATCAGCATAACTTTGTATTGTAAAGACAACCCAACAAAGAAAAAAAATCAGGCATTGCAGAGGAGATGAAGACAGGTGGAGTGGAGTGAGAAGGGGAGTCCTGGAGACAGGTGCCAGATTTTTTCTCCCAAAGAAATGAAGGTAATGACAGGAAGCACCCTTGCCTCATGTACAATCCTTTTCCTAACTCATTGTCATCCCTGGTCAAACGTGTTGCAGATGTTAATAGTGTTGCAAAAAAAACACAACCCCACCCCGACCCGGTAATATCTCCTTGCTTAGAGATGATAATGGAACAGGATTCTTTGACGATTGCCAGAGTTTCCTTAGAAGGAGGAGCGTTCCAAAATAAGAGATATGCATCTTTGAACAGTGATATTCGGGAAAGAGGAACTGCTCTTTGAAGAATTGAATGGGCAACCCTAGAAACAGTTCCAAGCAATGAATTTGCCAAATTGTAGTGCCTATTCCCTAAAGGTTTCTGTCTCCCATAGCAGTCATACCTCTGACATCTTCCTCGTCCTCTTCAAAGCTGATCCTCAGGTTTACATGCTCATCTCTGGTACTTTCCTCTAGAAAGTTTCTGACCCCTACAAAAGTCTGCACAGACCAGAGATTAGAACCAGATTTTACTTTGCATCAGATTGATATGGGGTGGGTGGGCGGGCAGGGGTGGGGATTGTATCATACTCAAATAAACAGGATTACACCAGCAAATGCTAGTAGCATTTATGGCTCCAGAGATACACTTATGAAAATGCACCCACTGACATCTCTGAAACCAGAAATTAGTCTAAATAAAATGTTCAAGGATTATGGGGTGAGGAGCAGCCTAATAGCTGAGCCTAGCCTGATCTTGTCAGAACTTGGAAGCTAAGCAGAGTTGACCATGGTTAGCTCTAGGACACCAACAAGGAAAACGGGTTGCTATGCAGAGGAAGGCAATGGCAAACCACTTATGCTTATCTCTTGTCTTGAAAGTCCCATGGTACTGGGGCCATCATGAGTCAATTGTGACTTGACAGCACACCATTATTACTATGATGTGAGGCTTCAGCACCCTGCCTTTCTTCTGCCACCAGAATATGTTATGCAAACTAATGTGTGCAAATTAAGTGCACAGGTTATGCAGGTTGCATGGTCTAGCTTTTGTGAATATGGAAAGGCTTTGTTTTCAACAAGCAAACCAGCCCTGCTGTGTGGACACCTTCTAGGAAAGAGCTCCAGAGCATACCTCGTTTGTGTCATCTTGACTGAAGTCCAAACTTGGCTTGGTATTAAACGTTTCTAATAGGTGCATCAGCTTCACTTCACAGAACTTCAGCTTGTCAAAAACATCACCAGTGTCCATGCGGATCTCTTCCTAGAAACCAACAGCTTAGAATGTAAGAAGAGGCCACTGGAATCAGGCAAATGGTCCATGTCACCCAGCATTCCCTTTCCCAGATGCCCTGGAATGCCCACGTGCAGGCACAAAGTGATCAATGCCTGTTGTTGCTCTCCCACAACTGGCATTCAAAGTTTTGAACTGCTTGACTTAAGATGCATTTTTAAAAATTCTGTCCCCTCCCTGTTCAGGTGGTTCTGGCGGTGGCTTCTTTCCTGAAGGTTTGAATAATCTAACCATGCCTGATACTAAGACAGGACAGAATCCCATGTGCCCTAGCAGAGGCTGATGGAAGGATGATAGCACAAAATGATGATTTGTACAGAGACATAATGGGCAATCTCCCACTGGAGTGACTTATTCAGCAGCATCTCTGTACTAAGAGGGAGGGAATGAGACATTTCCACCATATGTGGAGATAGCAGTAGAATGATCCATTTCCAACAGAGACTGTTGGATGCCTAGCCAGAGCAATGAATCATTCAGAGATGCAACGCTCAAACTCATTTACAGGTGCGTAATTTAGGCTCACAGGAGCCTTTTGTGATCGAATTGATTTTATTTCCCACAACAAGCCAGCAGTTTTTTAAGCACACTGAAACTGGGTGGATTGCAGCCCAGAGGGAGCAGGGGCTGATAAACAGGACGCCAAATAATAAAAATCTCAACACTGCACACACCTGGCCAGGAACGGTGATGCCACAGAGCCTCATTATGAGGTTTTCAACCCCGTTTTCAAAATGGAGGAGGAGCTCCTGATGCTTGGTTGCCCGGGCCTGTACTTCTTGGAGTCTGGCTTCTTCTTTTTCCAGGTTCTTTTGCAGGTCCTTTGACAGCTTACTGAAGCTGAATGGGAATTCACAAAGGCCTAAACATGCACACTGGACTATTATACTATGGATAACACACAAGTTAACTTGCAGGACTCACTGCCACATGACGGCTACTAAGGGGGTTAGACAGATTCATGGAGTAGAGGTCCATCCAAAGCTATTAGCCAAAATGGCTAAATGGAACCTCCAGGTTCAGAGGTAGTATCTCTCTGAATACCAGTTTCGGAGGAGTGGTGCAAAAATCGGGGAGTCCTAATGGAGCCCATAGCGGACCACTGTGGGAAGCAAAATGCTGACCAACAGGGCACTTCTGATGATCTAAAATATGCTACATCATTGTATACAACATTCTTAGATAATGTCACACTGAGCTTTTCTTTACCAAATAATACAGGTAACTGTGTAGAGAGTCTGGAAAATCATACATCCTCCTTCATGTGTAGTTAAGCCCAAAGAGACTCAAGAAGTATATGGGTTTTTGAGGAGAGGAAGGCAACCAATATTTAGAATGGGATTGTGTGGACTAGAAATGGGGAAATCATGACCTGAGAACCAGCACACTAACATCAGAGTGGAGTCAATGGTCCATGCAAGAGACCTCTCTGTCTACTTACTCCACTGGGCAGCTTTAAACTGGTGAGTACCTGATGAAGCCCTGGGTCTCGTGGAATTTCAGCTCTGCCTGCTCCAGTTCCAGCTGCTTTAGCTGGGCCTTCAGATCCCTGCGTCTTTTCTCACATTCTGCAATCTGCTGCTGCAGGTTCTCCTCAGACTTCTTCTGGGCTGTGAATCTCCCAGCAATATCCTGCAGAGGCCTCCAAATTAAAAATCGGGCTTGCACAACAAAGATTAAAAATGGCATGAAACCAGTTCAATTCTTGAGGCTTTCACCATGGAAGCACAGGGGACAAGAGTTTCCAGAGCGGGATGGAGACTCTTTGGGGGACTACCATGTGCTCCAATCGTCCTTGCGGACACTTTATTGTTACATAGGTATTTATTAAAATTATTTCTGTCTACTCTTCCAGGGAGCTCCGAGAGGTCCCGGGCGCTGGCAAATCAGTGCCCCAGTTTCTGTCTTTAAGGAATGCCTTGTTAAAATGTTGGTAGCATGACTTGCTAGTGATGGCATTCTCAAAGGCTCTGCTCCCTTTCCCAAATCTCAAACGTTCTCAGTCCAGGTCATTTTATACCGCAGTCCAGGTCATTGTGAAATTCAGTTCTTATATATAAAGAAAGAGAGATTACCAGATGTCAAATTTGATGGGTTTTTTGAAGCACAAGCTACACAAAGCCCTTGACACATCTGCATTATGATTGGACCACAATGTTATACCAATGTTATACGAATATACAACTGCCAGGGCTGTCCCACCTTCACCCCAAATATTCTGGTAATTTTGGTTTGGAGGATGTGCTAAACATTCTCTGTTAGAAATCCCCAGGCCCACTCAATAAATATAGTTCCCATAGCTCTCTGGGGAAAGGGAATGGCTATTAAAGCAGTTTAAGTCTGCCCTGGAGATACATGTGGCCTCTTTGGCCCCTACCTTCCTCTGAGCAATCTGCCATTACCCCTGTCTGGCAACCCATTCTCCCTTCCTTTTCCTTTTTATCTGAGCAACGCAGAGAAGCTATAACACATCTCAGCTGGAAAAGGGGGAAAAAACTCCTTTAAAGGGCCAAAAGGGCAGGGATTGGTTGCTCGGTCTGCAGCCATCCTACAGTTCCTTCTTAGGACCAAAGACCCACGAGTTGTGCTTCGGATGAGCAAAATGTTGTGCAGATGCTCCCATTTCAGTCAGTGGCTTCTGGTGTTCTGTGGTGGTGGGGGGAACCTTCATCAGGAAGCAGCCCAAATTAGAAAGTTACTGAGGTATACCTGAACTAATTAACCTCTTTAGGCGGTAGGACATGCAAGATATTAACATCTAGAATGAGTGACACATCCAAAACCTTTGATTAGACCAGGTGGAGGAGTCAAGTACCATTGACCTTCTTGATTATTCCTAATTTAGCAAATTCACGTTGACTTCTCACTTTGAAGTTCTTTTGTAGAAAAATAGTGATTTTTAGATCAGAAACAGAATGGCCTGGAAGACTAAAATGTTTAATCACTGATTTCTAAATACTATCATTTTTAATGTCAGATTTGTGTCAATTTATTCATTTAATAGGGACTGACCTGCTAGTCCATTATAGAGACTAAATGCCCCTGTCCTCTCTGTACTGGACAAACAGGTCAGTTGCTAGGCAAAAGAACACCTTTCATTTCTAAGATGTCACTGGACTCCTGGTTTGTTTTGCTGAATGTACAACATCATGCCAGAACTTGGCCAAATTGCCATGGAACTACTGTACCCAAAGATGGGAGCACTGGACTGCAGTCTTGATCTTCTCCACCTCATTGGTCACCAGACCGTGGTACTCAATCTGAGCCTTGGAAACATCCAGTTTTCCACCTGAAAAGCAGCAAAGAGGCAAGGTAGCAGTCAGATGTCTAAACTATGTATCGCCAGATGTGTTAGGGATTTCCACTTCTCACTTCGGGATGCAAGATTAATTTCAGTTTTTTAATTATTACATATTTGTCCCACCCTTCTTCCAAGGAGGCAACAGTGCCACCCAGGGTTTTCTCCTAATCGGTTTTTATCTTCACAACACTGTGAGGTAGGCTGAGCCACAGCAATTGGTTCCAAGGTCACCCAGGGACAGAAGGGGATCTTCCTAGTCCTAATCTGTCCACTGTGCCCTGCTGGCTATTCAATGGGTCCCTACACAACACATGCCTGACTCATGTGCATAGGTTAGAGCCTCCTGGGGAAGGGAGCGAAGAACAACTCTTTCATACTCCCCAAAGTCCTGTTAGCACCTGCATGGCCAAAAGGAAATTACAAGAGTTGTGCTTTACTTCCCCCAGGCATGATACCCATCATGAAATGGGAGCTTGCCCGAGAAGCCCCTGTGACATATAGTAGGAGCCTCTGGGTCAATTTCCTGTTTCTGATCAGAGCAGCAGGGGCAATTGGCCCTGGGCCTGCTGGGCTATAACAAATGCCGCCCTGTGCAAACCCTTGACATGAGAAAGCTCAAGGGAAGGCAGCTGGGCCTGGGAGAGACAGAGAATGTGCCAGCCCTTCTAACTCAATCTTTATGATCCAGGAGGACCAGAGGTCCTAGGGAGTAATCTGGATGGTGATCCCTTTCGAGCTTGGATCTTGATTAGCATTCTTACCTCTCAACGTTTCCCAGCCCCCCAGGGAGGGAAATTCCATAGTGAGATCACGCCGGCCAAGCTGAAAAATTATTAGAAGTGAACGTGTGCATTAAAAAGAAGCAAAGACAAGCATCTCAACAAAGAGACAGGACTAACAAAAATACGAGATCAGCCGGATCAGACCCGAAATCCATAGACAACCATCCTGTTTCCATCAGCGGCCATTCAGATACCTCTTGAAAGTCCACAAAGCAAGACATGAAAGCAACAGCCCTCCCTTGCTTTTGCCCCCCACAATGTCCAACCCTCAAAGATACACTGCCTCTATATATGGAAGCTTCATTTAGGAAAGAACTTGATCATTTTTAAAACTCTTTTGAAACAACAAAGCAGCACTCTGCCCCCTCCCCAGCGACAACTCACCATCCTTTTGTGTCTCTCACTGGCTTCCTTGGTGCGGATCCTTTCTATCTGTTTCTTCTGGGTGCTGAGTGAATTGTCTCTGAACTTTTTCTCAATAATTAACTCGGACTCTGTATTCTCCATCTCTGCCTGCAAACACCATGGGGAGGGATTGAGGAGAGGGGGAAAGAGGCAAGGGATAATGTTTGTATGTTAGGAATCACTATATTCCCCATCATATCACAGCTGCATCAGTTTCCACCCATAATATCTTTCAAAGAACTCAAAGCTGAGCCATTGACCCAACTCACTGCCCCAGATGGGGAGCAAGATGATGACGATAAGTACACAAATAAATAAATAAATATCGAAGGATTACTGAGACAATGTATATAGTTCATTGTAGTAAAAATACATTTCACAGTATGCCACATTCATATATTGTGTCTGTAATCTTTCAGATATTTTGCTTTTGTAATCCTTTCGACAGGCTAATATTATTTAATTTATTTATTTATAAATTAAATTTATGGACTGCCCTCCCGAGTACGCAAGGCTCAGAGGGGTGAACAACAGTAAAAACACTCATAAAATAATAGAATAATGCAAGCAATTTAAACCAGGGTGTCAAACATGTGGCCCGAGGGCTGGATAAGGCCCCCTGAGGGCTTTTATAAGGCCCACAGTGGAACTGGTTGTCTCCTACTTCTTCCAGTTCTGCTGCTGCTACGTCATCATAGCTTGCTTTGCCAGACTCTCTCAATCATTCAGGAGAGACAGATAGGCAAGCTTCTGTTCCCTGCACTCGTTGAGGCTCCTCCCCCTCCCCCTTCCAGGGGGAGGGAAGGAAGGAGCCACAGCTTGCTTCCTGGCCAGGCTACCTCAATCGCACAGGAGAGAAAAGCAAGCCTTTCTTCCTTTCCATTGGCTGAGGCTCCTCCCTGAAGGGAAGGAGTGAGAGCTTGCTTTGCTTGGCTGCCTCCATCATATGGGAGAAATACAAAACACCTTTAAGACCAACAAAGTTTTATCCAAGATATGAGCTTTTGTGTGCCTTGCTACAGTGTGTGTATTTTGTTGGGCTTGTTATGCTGTAGCTCTCCTGGGTGCAACTGGGCTCCCTCCCCCTTTTCACTGTATTCATGTCCTCATGATCCCATGATCCAATCTTGCTCAGTATGAAAGCAATGTGAATTATTTAGATGAGGAATAACAACAAGCCAGTGAGGTGGATTAGGCTGAGAGTGTGTGTCCAGACCGAGTTCACCCAGCACATTTCCTTTGGGGATTTTAAACTTAGACTTCCTAGATAGTAGGTTGATACTGACCATGGAGGAAGACTATAGTTTTGTAGACAATCACATAGCCCTCAGTCTGTGTCATGGTGCCTTCTCATGTTCTTGACCAGCGTATGAAACAATTTATGTACAAAATCTCATAATGCCCAGCCATTTCATGTTTTCCCCTGGGCCCTAGGCTCAGAACTCTGAACGTGAGATTTCTGTATTGAATGTCAATAAATCAAAAGTAAGTTTGCAGCTTACAGATACACACTTGAACAGCATACTCAAGATTGCATCAGCTTTGATGCAATAATTCAGAGCAAAAGGTGTCAGTTATCAGACACTGTTAAATAAACAAAATATTGCAAGAATGCTAATGTTTTGAGCATATTTTTATTTTAAGTAAAAAAAATCTTTGTGTTTGTGTCCTTTATAAAGTTTATATCTCCGCTACCTGGCATTACATTTTATGACACACATGGCCCGGCCCAACAAGGTCTCACTTATGTCAGATCTGGCCCTCATAACAAATGAGTTTGACACCCCTGATTTAAATAGTGCAGAATTAAAACATTCTCAAGTGGCGCTAAACTTCAGCATTTCAAATTGTGCCACTATCTTGGAACTGAGGTAGAGAAGAAGCAGGGGAGGGAGTGCCAGATGAGATGGTACCCGTTGCTGTCCTCAACCAAAAGCCTGGTGGAACACCTCTGCCATGCAGGCCGTGCGGAACTGCTTTAGCTCCTGCAGGGCATGGATGTTACTCGGCAGAGAGTTCCAACAGACAGGAACCAGGGCTGAAAAAGCCCTGGCCCTGGCTCTGGGCTGGGGATCACCGGTAGATTGTTTTCTGCAGAGTGTAGCACTCTTAGGGAACATACCAAAGGAGGCAGCCCCAGAGATACATGGGTACCTGACTGCTTAGAGCCTTACAGGTTAATACCAAAACCTTGAACCTGACTTGGTATGCCACTCTACATATTCTAGATGTAAATAAAGTTATCCTAGCTAATGCACTTTTATCTTATGCACAAGTTTCCATGGCAGAGTAGGGATTCAAACCTGGGTCTTACAGATGCTAATCTGACACTCTACCCACCACACTGCAGGCGGCACACAATCTGGCTTTTACCTTGGCAGCCTCCATGGCTTCTGTGGTGTCTATGGCCATCAGATTCATGCCTTTGAGTTCCCCTTCGTAGACCTCCACCATATGCTCCAGGCTGTCCAATAAAAGAGGTAGCTGAGCCACTTCCTGGGGGCAAAGACGAAGGTGGCCTGATGCTTGGGGCAGCTTCACACATGCATGTTAATCACTCAGCGAACACAACATCACAAAGAGGTGCAATGAGAAAACCCATCTCACCCCAAGAAATGTATAAAGATTATTTCACCTTTTCCTTTTGAACTTGGGGGAACTACTTGGCAGTAGATTCAGGGTAGAAGAAGCTTGTGGCGCATGTTTGGCAGCGCAAAAAGATGTGGTCAGGCAGCAGCCACTTGAACAACAGAACCGCCTTGCTGGATGAGACCAAAGATCTTTCTTGCCCAGCTTACTGTAGCCAACAGTGGCCAGCCAAATGTTCCCCAGCAGGGACCTAATGCTTGTTTCCATGGCAGAGCAGGGATTTGGACTTATTTCCCAGATCCTAGCCCAACATCCCAAACGCTGTGCTGCAGACGGCACACAATTCCAGTCTTACTAGTAGCATCCCAAAGTTCCCTGCAAAAAGCCCACTCACATCTCTCAGCAAATCCACCATTTTCAGGTACAAGGCCTCGGCCTTCTGTGCTGTGCCAGTTTTCACAAGCATCTTCTCGATGTCATTCTCCAGCTGACGGATTATCTGCAGTGCAGGAAAAGCCAGAAAACACAGGGTAGCCTTGGAAAGATCTGTTTGTTCTGTTATTTTTATCCTGCCCTTCCTTAAAGGGAGTTCACAGGAGCATGCATCATTCTGCCCTCCTCCATTTTACCTTCACAACAGCCCAGGGAGGTAGACTAGGCTGAGAGAAGGAGGCTGGTCCAAGGTCTCCTATCAAGCTTCGTGGCCAAGTGGAGGATTTGAACCTGGGTCTCCCCAGGTCCTAATTCGATACTCTAACCACTGTGCCACACTTGGGTCTCCAAAACAAGGGCATACACTTTAGATGTGCTAACTAGTGAAAGGAGTTTGAACAGATGAGTCCTTAAACCAACTAATCAATTTCATGTTTGTATCTCTGCATTTTGAGATACTGTAAAATAACATACAAGTTTATCAGCATTTGTTAGTATAACAGCCAGGGTGGTGTAGCGGTTAGGAGTGGCAGACTAGTTTCTGGGATACCCAGGTTCAAATCCCCACTTGTGCTGTGGAAGCTCGCTGGGGGACCTTGGGTCAGTCACAGTCTTTCAGCCTAACCTTCCTTACGGGGTGGTTGTGAGGATAAAATGGAGGAAAGGAGAATGATGTCAGTCACTCTGGGGTCCCTGTTGGGGAGAAGGTGGGGAGCAAATGAGTTACATAAAGAAAGAAGAAAAATATTTGCTGTGAGAAGGACAGTCTGTTAATATTGTCTTTATTTAATCCATATTAATTCTGCTCTAACGCAAATATTTCCAAAGCGGTTTACAAAAATAATACAACCAATACAATTAATAAAATTCAATCAACAATCAATTTAACAACAGCAAAGAAACACTTGCAGAATAGAGGAATATCTCTGGGAATATCAGCATACTTTGGGGATATGCTAGCATAGGGTTTAATAACCATCCTGAGCCTTTGGAGATGGATTTAGGATTGCGCTGCATTTTACTCAGAACATAAAATGAATCCAATTAAATACAAGAAGACAAATGACACTGGTTGCTTTCCCATGGAGGTTTTTCTTTGCGTCTCCTCCCACCCCTGCAAAAGCCTGCAGTGATTCTTCTGAGGGCTTTCACATGATATCGCCATCTCCTAAAAAGTTTTATGCTCCCTGAATTAACAGCCCCACTGATTAAAACTGGCTGCCTCTGATTTAATCCATGAACCCCTTCACTGATGAATCAACAGATGGAAGCTGGCTGCTCTAATAGGTGTGCACGCTTTGTTCTTAATTTTGTGCAACACATATGTCTTTACGCAGCACTTGAGAGTGATCAAAGCACCGCACATGTACTGTTTAAGACATTCTTGGTAGCATCGATGCTAGCGTTCCTCATACTGTAGACACAGGGCTGAGACTGACAAACAGTGCTTTGCCTGAGCCCACCTCGAGAGCTCATAGCAGAGGTGAGATGGGAACCAGGGACTTTCTGATTCTCAGTTCCGTCTCTGAGCCTCCAGGCTGTGTGTAATAATTACTGGATTGGCAGCCCAGGCGAGCCCAATCCTGTCAGACCTCGGAAGCTAAACAGGGTCAGCCCTAGCTAGTATTGGAAGGGCAACCTCCAAGGAATACCATGGTTGTGACTTAGAGGCAGGCAATGGCAAACCAGCTCTGAAACGTCTCTTCCCTTAAAACAAGTCTAGCTTATCACCTAGTGGTGTATAATGCTAAAAGAGCTAGAACTTCTGGCTGTCAGACAATCTTAGGCTCTCCTGGCTATTCTGCACACAATGCCATATGATAATTGTATTACCGGACTGACATAATTTTCAGCAGAAAGGTAAGTGGGCAATGTGATTCAGTGGCACATGCCCAGAATATTCTCTGAGACCACATCCTGCAGTTTCCCTGCCCACCTTCACTACTGCTCAAAGCCCATCTTACACCAGTCTCACCTGCATCTGGGCCAAGATCTCAGGGCTGGCATTTTCCATCTCCGTCATCTTTTGCAATCTCAGCTGCATCTCTTGTAGGAGCTCCCCCCTCCTCTTCACTTCATACAGCAAGAGGTTATGCACGTTTATCCGATCAAAGACGTAAGCACTCAGAAGCTGTCGGGCTTTCTATCAGGGAGCAAGGAGACCAAGAAGAGGCATGAGCCACATACGTTTTAGAGGTGTGCCCCAATCCTGTACCCCCATCCCTCTGCCCTTCTCACCACAGACAGCCCACCATGTGCAAAGGCCAGCTATTATAGTGGAGCTATTAGAGGTAATTCCGAAACTTTGTTTTATTTAAAACGTTACTCTGCCTTTCTATCGTGTCAAACAAATCTGGTTTAATATAAACTTTTTGGAAAGATCACAGGTGAAGTACATTTGGATGCTGTGCGGATGTGAAGGGATGTATTTTTCAGGTCCTGCCCACACTGGCAACATTTTTCTTAGCCCAGTTATAGCCACTCCTCCATTATTCCAACCTGTTGCAACGATTCATTTCATTTTTAAAAAACCCAAGTCTCTAACCCTTTTTGTTGCAGAATGATAAGAGGAAAGGTACTGTCTACACATTTCTCCTTAGAAGTCTACAACCATTGCTTTAAATGAAAGCTGGGAACCAGTACACTATTGCAATAGATCAGAGCCTCACAGTTCAGAGGGGGCTACCAATGAGTCAGAGAGATTCAAGTGGGGTAGCCGTGTTGGTCTGAAGCAGCAGAACAAAGTTTGAGTCCATGTTGACACCTTTAAGACCAACAAAGTTTTATCTGCGGTATAAGCTTTCATGTGCAAGCACAATTCATCAGATACAGTGGAACAGTTCCACTGTATCTAATGAGTCAGAGAGAGAGAGATAGGCATGGGACACAGAGCATCTTTCTTTTCTTCTCTACTGCTACTCCTTTAAAGTGTAGATTGCTACTCTTAGGGAAGTTCCTTCCTTCCGGCTTGACACCTCTCTCGCACACATTGCCAGACTGTCCATGTTGGCACCAAAACAGCAGGACACACGCCTTGCATCTCTGGGCATCCAGCTAGTTAGATTAGATATGCTCTCTCTCATCTTTCCTATCTAGTGAATGGCATTCACTTAATAAACTCCTTATTAGTTTGAATCTGAAGACGTTTCCATGTATCTTTCGTTTTCATGCTTGCACACACACAGAGCCTCAGCTGGTCACATGGCCTGCACTGTGCTTACAGCCTGACATGCTCCGCCAGTATACAGGAATGTGTTGGAATGATTTCCCAGCACAGAGATCCCCAACCTTTTCATGCCTGTGGGCACCGAGCTGGCAACTAGGTTTCCTGAACCGCCACTCTGGTGACAAAGTCCAGTGCAGAGGCCCAAGACTCCAAAGCAACGTGCTGGCCAATACGGTCACCACAGAAGCCGCTCACTTCATAGCACACTTTTGTCCCCGGCCTGGCAATTGGTGGGCCAGAAAGTTCCTCTTGGAGACAGGGCTGGATTTGGTCTGGGGGCTTCCTGTGGCTGACCCTTTCCTAAGGTCAACTTCAAGTCCTTTCGCAATGATGGTTGGGCACTGAAGCCTCTGCTCCTCCTGTTTTCCTGAGTGCTCCAGCAACGTGAATGGCAATGCTTGCCATTGTGTGCATGGGCCCTAACTATGAAGCAGAGGGGTCAGCCCAGATGGCATCGGTAGTGCATATACACCAGCAACACCATCTTAGGCTGCCCCTCTACTTGAGCTCGCTTGTTCACACAGCAGCCAGCACGGGGGTGACGGGGGTGATCTAGAAATATCTGGGCAGAACTGGGCTCGCCATAGCAAAACAGCCACTGCTAGCAAGTCCCTGGGCTGGACCTAAGACTGGACAGCCCAGAAGAGGGTTGATAGCTTAAGCAGGGGGTGGATTCCATGTTGTACAATGAACTGAGGTGGCTACCCTGCCCCAAGGTGTCCAATTCAGTCTCCCATCGCTTCAGGGATGTACAAGTTACCCATCTATCTAGAGACAGAGCACACTTTCATCAAACCCTTCCTTCAAAAAATTTAAGGTGGCCTCTCTGATCATCGCCTCCTTCATTTTGTCCTTGCAACGGAATTGGGTTAGACGGAAATCATGAGGTCACCAGGAAGCTTCATAGCTGAACAGGGATTTGAACCCGGGTCTTCCCAGCACTGGTCTGACAGTCAAACTGTTGCGACTCCACAAAGTCTGTCTCACCTCCATGGTTTCATTGGACAAAAATATTTTGAGGTGCTTCCGATCTCGGCAAGCCCGGCTGATCGTCACTTGGTCATACTGCAAGGAGAGGGGAGAGAAAAAAGGAAGGACGGTTCATGCCTGAAAAGTGTCCACAGCTCTGTGCAAAGAAGTATTCAAATATATACGCTCTCACAACTGTGCGGGAGTTAGCCATGTTTTAGGATAGGGGGTAACCCCACTGGTGCTTTTTGATTGTTTCATCCCTGCTACAGTTTGGTAGCTGCTATGCCACATACCAGCACTAGAGTGAAGCAGGGGGGGGGGCAAGACCACAGCCACCCTCCAAAGCACAGGGAACCAGTTGGAGACCCACAGAATTTAAGGAGTTTCTCATAAGAAATAGGGAAGGAACATCTAGTTCCCTACAAAACACCCCATCCTCAGGCTTTCTAGATGCCAGCCTCCTGTGGATCAGGCCAAGGTAAGTCTAATACTGAATGTTTATATAGCACTTTAGGGAGGGGCCGTGGCTCAGTGGAAGAGCCTTTGCTTTGCATGTAGGAGATCCCAGGTTCAACCCCCGGCATCTCCAGTTAAAAGGACCAGGCTGTAGGTGATGTGAAAGACCTCCAGCCTGAGACCCTGGAGAGCTGCTGCCAGTCTGAGTGGACAATACTGACCTTGATGGACTGATCGTCTGGTTCAGTATAAGGCAGTTTCATCTGTGTTCACTTTCAAAAGTCCACACATATTATCTTTACAACAATCCTGTAAGGTAGACCAGTACTTTTTAACCCACCCCCCATACTGCATATTTGGGAGGCTGGGGGAGAGTAGCTTGCATAAGAACCAGGTTCTTCCTGATTTGTAACTTGGTCTCAGCCACTATGCTGTACCATCTCTTGGCACTTGGTAGGTACTCCTTCCCTAGTGAGGCCTTCCTAGCCCAATCTTTAGTGACCTTTTGGAGAAGAGTTTGGTGTAGTGGTTAAGACTGGTGGACTCTCATCTGGAAAACCGGGTTTGATTCACCACTCCTCCACATGCAGCCAGCTGGGTGACCTTGGGTCAGTCACAATTGGAAAAGAGCAGTTTCTGTCAAGAGCTCTCTCAGCCCCACCTACCTCACAGGGTGTCTGTTGTGGGGAGGGGAAGGGAAAGGCGTTTGTGAGCCGCTCAGAGACACCTTTGGGTAGTGAAGGGCAGGGTATAAATCCACTCTCTCCTTCTCTCTTCTTCTTACTTCAAGAGGCTTATGGTGGCTGCCTCACTTTTAAGTTGTTTCAAATGACTGTGTGATTTTTAATGTTTTAATTATTGGTATATATATATTTATTTTTATGGCTTTTACAGTTTGGTTATGTTTTATAAGACCTCAACCGTAACCTGCCTTGGGCATTTTACAATTAAGAAAGGGTGGGTACAAAGTAAGCAAAATTGTATTTATTTACTAGGTTTTCACACCAAATTTCTTGGTTTCTTGGAATTATATTTATCTGACGGGGGGGGGCTGGTGTTCAAAACAGCACTGCTCTTTTCAGAAAACAAAAAATAAAACCTAATTTAAAAGTGATGCTGTTTAAGGCAGAAAACCTTACCTGTGCATTGTCTGAACATACTTATCAGCCTGTTTAAACCAGATTCTCAGTTGTGCTGTGTGCAGTGTTAACATGCCAGCTACCCAGCTCCCACCTGGGCTACAGGCCCCTGTTGTGTTAAGACACATCATTACATAAGGCTACTTGCTTTAAATTAGGAACCTAGCATCAAACCAGATGAGATGCTGCAAAGTCTGTGATCCAATCTCCAATGCATTTTTTTAATAAGTGGGAGCTGCAGAGAGCTCCATTCAGGTTGAAATCATGTGTGCTGGAGGGATATTAACTATCCTCCCATGCCATTTACCCAAGTCCCAATCCCCCTTTCCCAGGTTCCTCTTTGTCTCATGCAGGGAAAGACACAGGGAAAACTCTGGCAACTTGGATGCTTTCTCCAACAGGGCAAATGGCAGGTCTGTGGGAGAGAAGTTCTGGGATATGGCACAGAGGGGAGGAGTTAAAATTCCCTTACACACACATACATGGTGCCAGCGCTATGACCACGTTCTAGAGTAGGGTCCATTGCATCTGCTATTCAGTTCTTAAAAAAAAAAAGTCGGAGATCCAAACAGGACCCTTCCAGCATCTCACCTGGTGCATGCAAACAGGGTGTGTGTGGGGGGGGAAGTTCTTGCCTATCTGGCAGCACACTCAATTCAGGACTAAGCCCAGAGGCAAGAACCAGTGCCAAAAGGCCTTATCCAAGGTCCTGATGCCACCTGATGACCACCACCCCCGGCTGCTGTCTGTGGTGCTGGAGAACAGCCCACCCAGCCTGACTGAGCAAGAACAGATCCAAAGCAGCCCATCCATTGTGTCGGACCCAACCCTGGTGATGTGCACACGAAATTGGTACTTCCATAGGAATTCATGATTGTGGTTGGGTTTTAATTGCTTTTTAATTGCTGATTTTATTGCTCTGGATTTCTTGCTCGAATCCTTGTTTTAACTGCTTTGAAGGGCTGTGTGCTGTGAGGGTGGAGTGTAAATATCTGCCTCCTTCCTTTGCAAGGGCAGGGTAAGCAGGGTTTCTCTTTCCTTTTTGGACTGGGTGGCTTCTGATCAATTGGCTGAGTCACAGATTTTCTGTGGCTGATCTTACCAAATATGCTAGATTTTATTAAGCAGGGGTTGGGGTTCTTTTTGTTTGCTATTACTATTTTATATTGTAAATGTAGTTTTTATTTGGTAAACTACACCCCGAGCATATTCATTAATTAATAAACAAAACCAGAACAATGAAGGTGTTAGTAAAATAGATAATGTTGCAGCATATGGAACTAACTTTTGTGCAAGGTTAATTTATTTAATAATTAGGTAAAAGTAAAGGTGAAGGTTTCCCTTGCTCGAAAGCCAGTCGAATTTGACTCTAGGGGGCGGTGCCCATCTTTGTTTCCAAGCCAAAGAGCCAGCGCTGTCCGAAGACTTCTCCGTGGTCATGTAGCCAGCATGACTAAACACCGAGGCACACGCAACACTGTTACCTTCCCACTGACGTGGTACCTAGTTATCTACTTGCAGTTTCTCGCTTTTGAACTGCTAGGTTGGCAGGAGCTGGGGCTAGAGATGGGAGCTCACTCCATCACACGGCACTGGGGTCTTGAACTTCTGAGCTACAGACCTTCCGGTCTGCAGTTCAGTGTCTTAACCTCTAAGCCACCATGGCCCCCATTAATAATGAACTAACTAATAAACCCAGAAAAATGAAGATGCTAGCAAAATAGATCTATAATAGATAGTGGTGTTGCAGCATACACAACCAACTTTTGTGCAGGATCAAATTATTAATATGATAAGCAGTTTTTATTTTTATATGTAAATATGTGGGATACCATTTTCTCAATGCATATTATTTCCGCTTTTCATCAGAAAAACGTACTAATGATCTTTTTAAAATTAACTCTGAAATAAATGTAGAAATGAAAGAGAAAATGCCCAATTTATCTTGCCTTTCTCCAAACAGGGAGTCAAAGCAGCTTAAACAGAGGCAGCTGACATACCAGGTGCATCGGGGATCTGCTAAACTGCAATTAAGAGTAAGTGTGCACAAGCATATAGTGTTGGGCACAATTTTTTTTTCTTATGGAAATTTGAGAATTTCCTGCTTATACTGAGTAAGGCAGGGGTCGTTTCGTAGAACAAGAGCTAGGGGAACTCATTAGCATAACTCGTTCGCATATGCCACACCCCCTGACATCACAGGAAGTGTGTCATAAGGCCACACACCCCGCCCCCAACGGTCCCGGCTGCCGCCGCCGGCCTTGCAGCTCCACTGCCGAGCCCCATGAGGGGCCCGGTGGTGGACCTGCAAGGCCGGCAGGAGTGCAAGGAAGCCCCGCGAAGGCCCTCCCTGGCCTTAGGCAGGCAGGGGTGGGGAGAGGCAGGGAGGAAGCAACTTACCCTCCCTCTTCTCCTGCCTCCTCCTGGCTGAATGAGGGCCGGAAGCGGGGCGGCCGGAAGCAGGGGGCAGGGCTTTGTCATGTGCCCCACCCCCCGTACCTCACCCGGGAGAACTGCAATCCCCCGCGTTCCCCCCTGAAATGACCTCTGGAGTAAGGGACAAAGCATTGAGGGAGACCCCCATGCTTGTAAGAGCTGTGGGACATGCAAAAACCCAGCAGCAGTTTCCATAGCTCAGCACTTCCATACGAGGAACTCTGCACCTAATAAATGTGTGCCTCTTTATGTACGCAAGTGCCATTGAGACCCAACTGACTGACGGCAACCCCAGCAAGGGGCTTTCAAGGAAAGCGAGAAGCAGAGGTGGCCTTCCTCTGAGGAATCGTCCGCGGTGGTCTCCAGTGTTCCCTCTAAGCTGAGATAGTGTGAGCTAGCTCACAGTTTTTTAGCCTCCGGCTCACACATTTTTGTCTTGGCTCAGGAAAGATGGCTCCAGAGCAAACCAATTTATGCAGGAGCCAAATTGCTCTCTCGCAACTTTAATGCCAGGAGCTCACAAAGTAGAATTTTTGCTCACAAGACTCCTCAGTTTAGAGGGAGCCTTCTTCCATCCAAGCTCTGACCCTGCTTAGCTTCCAAGATCTGATGGCACTGGGCTATACTATGCTGTCTTCCCTCCCATGTGCCAGTTTAGCGGCTCTTAACGTCTGGCAACCCTAAAGGAGCAACTGAGCTTGGTCCAGAGATCAAGATATGACTTCAGCTGTCCATCTCTTGGAATAAGGGGGGGAAGGGCCCATTGAAAAAAGTAACATCAAACAATTTTATAGCATTTTGGGTAGTCAAAGCACTGCACATCCCTTATCACAGTACTCAACAGTACTGCAGTTTAGACCAGTACTATTATTCTCATAGTGGGAACCGAGGGAAGAAGGCAGTTTGCTCAGATGAATTTGTGGCCGGGAGGAGACAGGAAGGGGCAAGGACCTCCCAGATCACAGCTCATTCTCTCTACCACACAGCAGGGCAGCTACACAAGAGGCAGAAATCCCTTACCTTGATTGCGAGGTTCAGATCCTGCATCCCATCCCTTGCAGTCGCAAGCAGAAATCTGATCAGGTCTCTGTTCTTACCGATAGCCTCCTGGGTTGACTGGGCAAAAAGTTTCTTCCCTTGCTCTGGCAGGAAATCAAGGGGAAGAAGTGAGTCCAAACGGGCACAGCACTTCGGATGTTCCTCTACAACTTTGAACATCTTTTCACTGACAATTCCAACAATACATAAACAATAAGGAAGAAAGGAGTTGTGAGTGTTGGACTAGGGTCCAGGACCTGCCGGTTCAAAAAAACCCCAACCCCTTGCGATAGAAGCTGGCTGGTGACCTTGGGCCTGACCTGCCTCACAGGGTTGTTGTGAAGATAAAATGGAGGAGAGGAGAATGACATAAGCCATTCAGGGTCCCCATTGGGGAGAAAGGTGAGGCATAAATGAAGTATGTTAATAAAGAAAAGAGAGAGTGAAAACAAATGACACGGTGCAATCAGACAGCGGAAACAATGCCAGTCAGAGCCAATAAGTGTTAGATGATGTGGAAAAGCTCACACAATCAGGATAGACTCAGCCTGTGCCTTTATGGCAGCAGTGGCGACACCAGGGTAATTTGTGGAAGGAGCCTTCACTTGCATTTGTTTAGTAACAGATACAACAGCCCTTTAAGGTAGGCTAGTATCATCATCATGCTATTGCAGCCAAGAGGGTAACAGTAGAGGGAGGGAGGGAGGGAGGGAGGGAGGTAGGGAGAGGGAGA